TAGATTCGGCCAGACCTGTTATTATATTATTAACTTATTGGAAAAGACTTAARTRCCCTTCTTTAAGTAAGAGGCACTTGAACTAACATAACAGTACACATCAACATTCTCAACAAGTACAAAGACCGAAATACCCCTTCACTAACACCACTAACATGAGAAAACAAAATCCAGATGTGGTGCTATTGCAGGAAACAAAACTGGAGTCATTTGATATAAGAATGAACAAGATATGGGGGTCCAAGGATGGGGAGTGGGTGGAAGTGAATGCAATGGATCACTCAGGAGGTTGGTGATCATCTGGGACCCAAGAGGCTTTAAAAGGATGGAGAGAAGAGGGTGTGATACCTACAGAAATATTTTCATCATGGCCAAAGATAAGAGGAAGCAAGCAAGCAAGGATAGTTTGAAGGTGCATACCATTTGTAATTAGATAGAACATATGGTAAGAAAGAAATAGAAGGATTTCTGAAGACAAAGCTTGTAAGCTGGAAAGGATGGTGGTGGCTGTTTTGGGTCCTTGTATTAACCGAGTTTAGATAAGTCTCTAGTAGGGACCTTGGAGAAATATTGGGTTAATTTTTGAATTTTCAAATGGAAATTTAAATAGCCTGTCCTGTCTTGTTGTGTAGTTGAAAGGTTCCATTGTATTTCTCATTAAGTCAGGTGTTGCCTTAACACCTGGATATGATGCTACTTTTTTCTTTTCTTTTAATGAAGTTTTATTTTTATTTTACTATAAAAAAAAGTCAGAAAAGAGTTGATTTAATTTCCAAAATTAGGAGTTCTTAATACAATAACTAAATTTCTAACCATTTGTAGCCCCATCCACCTGCACAATGTGATGGATCGTGTCAATAAGTGGCTAAGAATATCAAATACAATTTATAAACTCAGAGAGGCTCTACAAATTCCGACAACCCCTTGAACACCAGATTCATCTCTGAATGAAGTGAATTTTCAGTTTCAAGGATTTGCCAACATCAATCAACCCTTGTATTCAACTTTATTTACAACCCTTGAATACAGAAAAGTTTCCAGTAGAAAGGAAGGACCTCTCTTCCTACCAGTAACGAATTGGTTCATTTTGAAGGGTTAGCAAGTACCCCTCAAGTGAGCATTCTTTGTACTAATTGAAAGCCAGGGGTTATGGTTCAATGCTAGAGATTATTCATAAGGACAGGACTTTGCAGATTGAATGGGGTGGTTAGCTCAATCTATTTATGTATGAGAAATGTTAATCCCTAGCTGCAAATTTCCTGCATGAGCTGCAGAAGTTCTATGTGAAAAAATAAAAAACAAAACATGACATTACCCTCCCTTCCTCCCTGCCCCCTCAAAAAAAAGGCACTAATATGATGATGATGATGATAACTATGTGTTGAATGTTTGATTTTTCTAACAGCTGCCTTTAAGAGAATCCAATGCATCAAGAATATGAGAATCACCAGCATGCCTTTCTGTTGACCCGCCCTGAGCACCAAAACCTCGAACATCAGAAACTGTCACACCACGAATGCCCATCTTGAGCAGAGCCTACATTTTAAGCACAAGTTAATCAAAGCATGCTGAAAATACTATAGTGTTGAGTCAGCTGTTGAGGGGTAGTATAGACAATTTACATTGTTTTATATGCTGATGTAGTTACAAGTAGATCATAAGTTAAGTGATGTGCCCCACACTTAAGTGAGGGCACAATAGACTTTGTGCAATGTTTTAGAAAGCTATAAATAGAACTGGCCGACTAGAGAGAGATCACTCTAGTAAGAACCAGATTTTATTCTCTCCTTCTCCTCTTCTCTTCTCTTCTCCTTCTCCTAATCTTTCTCCAGTATTTATTTCTATTTATTATGAACTTTATTATGGTATCAGAGCAAATATAATCCAGTTCACAGAGAGGCTAAAAAGAAGTGATCGTTTCTTTGTTATGGAGGTTTCCATGCCTCCAATGGGTGGTGTTGTGGCTGTTTTGTGTGGTTGGTAGAAAACCCTCTATTTGATTCGAAGAGGGCTGGTTTTAGTGGTGTAGTTGAATGACAGCACAAGTCTGACTTGTGGGGGGTTCAAATAGGTAGGTTGCATGAGTGTTATAGGGAGGAAAAGATTTTGATGTGTTGCAGAACCTAATACTATGCATGTGAGGTGTATTTTGGTGGTTTATGGTGCTGAAAGTGGTGAACAAAAGTGAGTTTTGTTGCTGAAACTTGTGACAGTAGGTACTCTAACAATAATAAGCTGTTGGGGTGTAGTGTTGTGACTCTTTAGTGAAGTTGAATGACAGACTAGTGATAGTTTTTTTTTTGGCAGCCATGGGAGACAGCAGTGAAGGCAAGTCTAGTGTAATGGTTCCCTCTGATTATCTAAATGTGTAGATGACATCTGTCAAACTAAATGGTGAGAATTATGTGCCTTGGGCTAAATCTGTTGAAGTTTTTCTGAAAACTAAGAAAGTGAAGCATGTGAAGGAAGATAAACCCTCAAATGACTCTCAGGGGTACGATGAGTGGGAGCAAGATGATGCACAGATTATGACATGGTTATGGAATAATATGGAACCCAATATCAGTGTGAATTTTATGTTCTTAGATACAGTCAAGGAGGTTTGGGATCATACAAAGAAGCTTTATTCTAGACAATACAACACAACTAGGGATTACCAACTGTATCAAGAGTATTTTAATCTGCAACAGTGTAATCAAAGTCTTGAAGAATATTATGCTAGTATGAGAAATCTTTGGAATGAGTTGACTGTGTATCACCCCCTTATATCTTATGCCAAGATTCAGCAACAACAAAGAGAGCAGTTGGATGTCACTAAATTCTTAGTAGGGTTAAAGTCTGAATATGAACCGGTGAGAGCATAGATATTAGGAGGGTCTGCTCTTCCCTCTCTTGAAGAGGTGTTTGCCTGTCTCCGGAGGATCTCGGTTGGACCTACGGAGAACTCCACTATATTAGATAGGTCTACGTTTGCAGTCACAAGAGGAGGAGGCCATGGAGGTAGAGGAGGAGCCCGAGACCAAGAGGTTCAGCCTAGTCATGGTGGTGGTAGTGGACCCATGTATGGCCATGGTGGTGGTGGACCCATATACAGTGGTAGTGGTGGTCGTATTGGAGGTTAAGATTCAGGGGGAGCCCATGGCAGAGGACATAGTAATGGTTGGAGGAGGTGTACACATTTTTTTTTATGAATGATAATAAATTTATTAAATCAGAAGCTGATTTAGAGTGAGTTCATACAACATCCCAGGGAGAGGCGCAAGCTGCAGCCCCTCCTTGAATCTTACAAGTAAACTAGGAAAGAAAAGCAAGAATCACAACTGAGCCCAAAACAATTCTTCCCTATTTACCCCTTGCTTGGCTAACACATCTGACAAAGTATTTGCTGATCTCCCCACCCACTGTACAATGACCAACATATTCCTTGTCAACCAACTAAATTTCTTCATTTCATTCTTGTAACGCCACAAAGCCTCTTCAGGATTTTTCAAGCAACCCACCACCACTTTGGAATCCCCCTCGATTGTTAGGTGTTGTACCCCCAGCTGGTTTGCAAATTGCACACCTTGTACAGCAGCTAATAGTTCTGCCCTGATGGAGTCCCCAATTCCTAAGGGACCTGAGCAGAGCAACAAAATCTCTCCCTTCTCATTTCTCAAAGCACCCCCCATTCTGGATAATCCTAGATTACCCATGCTACTTCCATCAAAGTTCAACTTCAGTGAGCCTTCGAATGGAGGAGACCAGCTTGTAATTGATTTGTCCTTTAGGAATGAACACCTCGCTATTGCTGACCAATTTCTCTGAAGATCATTAAAGAAGAATTGATGAAAGATTTCCAAGGTCTTCAGCCAAGGTTTTGCCCTATTCAGCACACAGTCTTTCAATTCCTGACTGCTCCTTTCCTTTTCTTGAAAAATTCTAGCATTCCTTTCTTCCCAAAGAGTCCAAATCAAGGCAGCACGAGCACATCTCCACATAATTCTCCCTATTTTTGTAGGCCAAKAAAAKGTAGAATGGTTGAAGAACATGTGAACTTCTGCTGGTAGACTCCAACTACTCAAACAACGAAAGTAGCCAAGCCTAAAGGTCTGCAGAAAAGGGACAAGATATTAATAGGTGGTAACAATCCTCACTGTGAGCTCTACAGAGGATACATCAATTAGGAGAAATACAAAGGAAAGGTCTTCTCTTTTGTAGGTTATCTAGAGTGTTTACTTTCCAATGGAATACTTCCCACAAAACGCCATAATTTTTGGGGGAACTGGACTGCACCAAATTTCTTTTGACGGAAAGGGTTGGTGAGTAGAAAGTTGAGAGATGGACTTGAAGAAAGAAGCACAAGTGAAGGTTCCATTGGGTCTAGGAGTCCATACCCTCTTAT